ACATTCAACTCCTAATAGGTTTTTGTGCCCCCAGAAGGTTCGTCTGATAAGATCAGGTTTTTCTGAGGAGGGAGACCGGGCCAGACGGAGCACAAACGGGAGGTGGGTGTGAGGGGCTTTGGGGGAAATCTTGTTAGTCCCCGTCTGGTGGTCTGCGGCACGGCTGACACTTCGGCAATGAGACCATCGGTGGGAGTCCCCCCCTCCTCTGGGGAGCAGTGAGAAGAGGAAGCCACAGAGGAGGACTTGGATCTCCACCATCAGTGGAGAATGATGACAAGAGGGAAAAAGGGGGAAGCAGACAATAAACACGGGCTCACATTAATGACGACTCCCAGTTGTGCTCTGACGTTGACACAAGATAAATTAACTTGATTACATGTAAGCTCATGTCTAGACATTAATGTCTGAATTTACAGTGCATTTCAATTTACATAATTAGGTTAATTATATACAGTACTGCTGCCTGTGAGAGATTATTTTCACTAATGTGCCAGCATCCAATGCAGTGAAATGCCTTTGGCTTTTATTTTGTTACCCAGATTGTACACACAAACTTTTATACCATTTAAAAGATCTGTGTTATAAATGATCTTTACAAAATGAGATATATTTATATTTAAATATTTAAATATATATTATTTATTTTAAAAATAAATATATATATATATATATATTCACAGTTCATACATACAATAAAAAATACATTCGTATAACAGTAATTTCACAATTTAGAAACTACTGGTATTCTTAAATAAATAATCTATTTTTACATGATTGAATTAAAGTTACTTTTTACATTTGAAAGACATCGTCAAGGTTCAAGAACAGACTGTAGGCTACTGTACACTTCAAGATGCAAAACCAAAATAACCAAGTTCATATTAGGAACGACCACATCATAAGCTATTGAATGCATTCCTTTTATTTACCCGTCGTGCAGCTGTCGAAGCGCATTTCCTCTCCCAAAACCGTAAGCATTTGCTCAATAAATGCATGGCTGACGGACTCTCCTCCTCCAAATGAATAATATTTGGAGACGGATGAAATCAGAATTTCAGTGCCTCCGGAGATAATTTATGTGCTTATGTGACCTAATCGTATTCAAACGTGGAGCTCTAAATGTGTATGGGATTTCTTCATCAGCTCTGCTGGGTGAATTATGTCACTGTCAGACGTACGCAGTGACTCACCAGCAACTGAGCATGACGAACTTCGCCATGCAAATAAACAAGTGAAAGGGTCTATTTTAAGTTGGTGTTTGTCTAAAATGCTATTTTTGACAGTTCTATCATTTTTCCTTCCTTTTGTGTCAAAACAAAATCCTCAAAGAAAGGGTTTAAAAGCACTTGAAAGTGACAAACTTCATGCAGCTCAGTTCCTGGTTTTTCCTATTAACTATGTGGTAGTTTCCTCCAGGAATACTGCACAATGTATAGAGGTGAAACACACTCCCACCTTTATTTTGACAGCCTGCCAATAAGTCCCTCGGCAAAAACAGGTATCGATGCCAACATTGGAGAGACAGGCATAGCAAGAAGAATGAGGGTTTGAGGACAAGGACAATAAAGAGCGAGACTTACGGTTTTTTGCAATTGCCAAGACACAAAATTTGGTATTTCTGGGACAGTTACTGAAACCACTAACTCATGTAGCCTATTGACCAGGTATGCTACACCATAAGCACATTGTCTGCATTACACTACGTTAGAAATTCTAAAACACACTGTTTGCAAAAACACACGGTTATCTACATCAAACACATCATTCAAAAAGCCTGTGTGTTTTGTTTGTTAATTTCTAAACACTAAATTATAATTATCTTACCTGCACCCAGAACACACAAGTGAAAACACCTCTAATCAATCAGGTCACTTAGAAAATCAAAACACAATAAAGAGAATTCAGGGTTGCTGTTTAGTGTGCACAACTATGGAGGCCTATTTTGGAGAGTTACTGGACTGTAATACTGTATTTAGTTAAGTAATTGTGTCCGTTATTGTTATGAGTACGAGCGTTGACAATAAACCCATTGCATTTGTGTTCGTTATCTATATTTACATCATGCTACAAATGAAAATGGCTAAGATTCTAGATGATAATGTTTTATATGTAGCAACTCAGTGTGCAGTTGCCATAATTAAACAGCTATTTATTATTTGGTATTTTTGTGTAAAGTTGTGATGCAAACAACTCGTTTTAGAAGAGTTTATATAGTTTTGAAAGTGTTTGCTTATGCAAGAGATGTAGGATATTTTGTATTCATGTTTTTTGGTTTTAGTGTGTAGAGTTTTGAAAAAGAGGGCCCTAATTTTAGAAAGTGTGTTTCAGCTATTTTAATTCTTGCAGGAGCTCAGCTTACTCTCTCTGTAGCTAATGAGATTAATATGACAAAGAATGACTTAGACCTCCCGCAGAAAATTCCGATTTTTAAACACCAATTAAAGATGTAATGCCGCAAAAGCGTCTGTTTATAGGTTCGACAAAATAGCACGCGTGTCTGGAAGTGGAAAGCTGTATTATTTAGTTGTTGGTAAATTGAGCTGGGATGTGTTGACAAGCCTGGTGCACAAGTCATCATTTGGGAATGAGTGGCAGGCCCCACAGGCCCATGAGAGCAGAGAGGTTAACCTGCTTAGGGGCTGCAAACACTGAATCAACATAATCACATTGATTCTGCGTCACTTTCCTCCCTGGAGGCATGACTGAGGGGTAAGGCAAACACTTGGTCTATCAAGGGCCTGTCAGAGGAGTTAAAGCCCAGAGGAAAGACTTGAGGCCACCCAAAAATCACAGAAAGGACATAAGTAGAGAGAAAAAGTGGTGAAATGCTTTGCACAACAGTACTGGCCATGTTATTTTTTTTTTTAAGAAACTCAAGTTCACCCCCCATCATAACAACTTTGGCTATCCTCTTTTTCTGGCGCCATCATGATGTCAAACCGTGTCCAATACTTTATGACTTCTGTGTATGAGTAAATAACTAACGTTACAAAACTGATGTCATCATCCGCCGCTGTAACTACACTTTGTCATAAGTGCTACTTAACAGACACTCTCATGGTAAAAGTGGTCAAAATGTTCACAAACCTGCCATACATGACAACGTCGGCACTGTCGCGAGCAGACTGACATTAGCATTTAGCTCAAAGCGTCGCTAGCAGAGCTGTTGTTAGTCTTGCTAACAAATGTCCGTAGCTAAAGCTAACCTGGCATCAGGGTTTGCTCACACATCGAGCATAAATCAGCTGGAGAAGAAAATAATTTACAACATAGTCATTTCAGCTAACGCTAAATATTTTTGATAAGCTAGCAAAAAAGACTGCAGTGAGTTAGCTAGCTTAACTATAGCCTACGTTAATAAAATACAGAAGCAAACATCAGAGCTGTTTGGAAGAGCAGTACGTAGGCTACCAAACCAAAGTATGGTTTAAATGTTGTACTCCCTTGTCATTTGCAAGTGCCTTCATAATTTCAAGTGTTGTAAAAAGAAATGTTATTCTGTATAATGCATTATGGCCTTCCGACCTGTGGAGCACTAAGATAGATGATGGGTGCTGAGGTCCTTGACAATGGCTGTGCTGTTCTGTAATTCCTCTTTGCATACTATCACCGGTACTCCTAACAATCAGCTCTGCCTCATTTAAAAACAGGGTCTGTCTCAGAAAAAAACAACTTTACATTCATCTACTGTCAGATACTGTCTATTGGTTTCTCGAGTTGTAATATTAGATAACATAAAAATACTGAGGAGATAATTATTTTCCATTGTTTAACTGATAGTTAGCTGGATAGTCAGGCATGATACAAACTGGGATGGAAACATAATTGATATTTTCCTAAACTAATTCATGTATTCATTCAGAAAATGTGTTCATTGTTCCTTAACAAGCTTGCAAGAGAAGCCTAAAAAGAGACGCGTGAGGGAGAGAAACGATGAGACAAGAATTGGCTTTTGAATAAGGGGTAAGACAGGAAAAGTTGCACTCTGAACAGACAGACATCCTCTGATCTGACATGTTCATCACACACTCCTCTGCTTGAGTTCTAGGGCTCCATGTTTTTGGCTCAAGGCTTATTTTGGTTTATTAGTGTATGAGGGGGTGGCATATCACATAATGGCTTAACTCAAGGCAGGCTTGCACAATAGTTATGACAAGGTATGCATACCAACAACTCTAATTGGACAAGCACTCAACATTTCATGCAAATCCATCCGAGGCATGCACCGAGTAGTTATATGCTAATCACAGAACTCAATGAACTGTCAGTTTCATTTGATACATGTCCTTAGTACTCTGAACAGCAAAACACACATTCTCACTAACATAAATTACTGATTGTGGTTATGTGGTTAGGTACTTTGCAGCTCCTTAATAGATTTTGTCGAATCTGACCACTGTGGTCATAATTTTGTCACTGCACTCGTTAAAGATAAACACCGTATGTAACACGGAACTAAAGACCATTTAAAACGTTTTATCTTCGAACATTATAAGAAAATACTCAACAGAGACCACGTAGCCAATATGTTTTATTCACAGCAATGTGAGAAATGAGCAGTCATTTGGGGGAGGATTTGATAGCTGAGATGATGTTCATCGTTAGTGTTGCAAGGAATTGTATTGATTTTCGTAAAAAAAAAAAAGTCTCACTCAAACAGGAGCAATTAGAAATTAGAACTGAGCCAACTCACCCTGAAGCTTTGGACAAATTAACTGACAGGTGGCATGTAGTGCTCACTAACAATTAGCGCACTATATATTACAGGAATAATTAGCTCTATGGTCGATCAAAATGTTTAATACAGACACTATGTAATTAAAATCCAATTTGTTACAAACTTAAAAACTTTGATTCCCCTGCAAACAACTAACAAATGTGGTGGCTTGCTCTGTTCCACACTGCTGGGACACAAAGTATTTTTATAGTAAAATATATACCACTCTTTGAATATTTGGTGTGGAGGGTCAAAATAGTTGGAACTGGAAAATATGGAGTGTGTTTAAAATGGTTTTATTTCTTTAAATACAGGTACCATTCAATATTGACACGACTTCCACAACGGCATTCTTTTCAACCCATCACAGGTGAACAAAAGCCCATCGGATGCAGCGCCTGTCGTCACCATGTAACCACATTTCCTGCTGCCGCCGGACTTTCATCTCAAAGCAAAAAACAAACCTTGTGAGATTCAGAAAGCTTTCTGCGAGGCTAATTTTTACGGGGTATCACATAGAATAGTGTGTGCCCATCGTGGTGCTACACATTCATGAGGCACACATATTTTCTGTCAATTTGTTTTTTGTTAATTTTGACACAACTAAATTCACTGAAAATAAAATAAACTATAAAGCAAAAAAGGAGAAATACTCCTTAATTTAAATAAAACGACATGCGTATTTGATAAATTCCATGTTCTTCTAACACAGACAGCAAAATGTTGTTGAACCCGTTTAATTAAAAACGAAGAATAACTGAAACACTGGAAACACGACAGCCGTAATTGGCCCTTTACATTTCACACAGTGCAGGTATGCAAGTACAGTAACGGTGACTTAAATAATGGCCTTGACTAAATGTAGGGGAAAAAGCAGCAAACACTCTAGCACAGTATTTAACCTGAGACAAAACAAGCAAAATAAACTTTGAAAATACTGCTGTCAACACAGACTCATTATTTTATACGAATTAGCTCTTCAGAAAACAAGCAAGCAGAACAGTTGGTGGAGGCTCAAATGTCTTCATAGTGTTTGATCTTAAAAGGTATATTAGAGCCAGCTTTAGATATTGTCATTCAGTAACCATTAAAAGGGTCTAGAATACGCTTTAACAATGTAAAAAGTTTATGTCCAAGCTCCAACTAAATCTTAAGACATAAAGTTTTGGAGCCGTCTCTGCTGCTGCAGTGTGTCTTCTCCAGCAGAAAATGACCAATTCATGTCGGTTTCAAACTGTTGAGTGAATTCTCAAGGTAGGATTGAGTTGGAGGACACTCGCAGAATCCCAAAGTCATCAATAATATTGACTGAGAACGACACAAACGATCGGTCTCGGCGGTCTCATTAAGGGGTAGGATGTGTCGACTCAAAACAAGGCTGGAATGCACAAGACACCACTGCAATAACTCCTTAAAACCAATAAATTAAACTATGACAGATCACTGACATCCATTTATTAGTTTATCAAATTGTACTTTCTAGTCCCTTTAAATTACGGGGGGGGGGGGGGAAATCTACAAACCCGTCCGATCGAATACTGCTTTTCAGTGCACATATTCATCATCACTTAAGTCTGAGTCATCGGCCTCCACCTCTCCTTCAATCACAGACTTCTTCCCTCTGCAGCAGGACACCGCCAGACCAATGAGGAATGCCTAAAAACAATAAGCAAAGCACAAATTAGGAAATATTTCATAAGGATCATCTGATTAATAGAATGCATCACCTGCACGAGGAGAGAGGCTATTCAATATTTTTGCTGAGGAGATTAGCTGTGTGCAGTCTCGGAAAATCATATTTCCAGTTTTCGAAGTAGAAATGAAATGATGGTCTTCGGCTCTCACACTCTTCCCCCGAACAAAATGCAGCTTGTAAACTGAATGAAATGTTTCATAGATGTTGACGTCAATATTGCTCATCTCAAAAGATATATTTAGAATTCTTTGAAAATTAACAAATGTCTTCTTTGAGCTTTTTAAAAAAAAAAAAAACAAACAACAATAATTCTCCCTCTTCAAAAAATGGCCCTGATGGCATTTCATTGACATCTTTGGACTCACCCCGATAAAGGCCCAGTTACCAAAGTAATAGATGGTGCTGAAGAACCAGAACTTGTGGAGGAAGAGATAGGATCTGGTCACAGTGCACTGGTCTGAAAGGGACAGAGAAAACAAAGGGACATTTAAGAATTGAATCTATACAATGAGAGTAGATTTACTTTTGTTTTCAACCCAAGATGGTTGATTGTTGAACATATTTAGAACGCAACAAGGTTTTCTCTCCACCAGGTATTTGTTTGACAGTTTGGAAAATCAGTTATGTAATGAAATGAAAACAAAAACAAAGAGTATTTTGGTCTCAATAACAAAGGAAAAAACGTTGCAGCCAGAGAGTGTAATTGCCTTTACAGTGTAGAGGCCAGTCCACTGCCTACACACACATGTTTATCCAGCACCGCCGAGGAAAGTCTCACAACATTTGATACCAATGGCAAGTCATGAACCATCTGAGAAGTGGTGTTGAAGGAAATCAGCAAGATGACAAATACAACCTTCCCAAAAAGCTGAATTTATAAGATGTTGTTGCAGAGCTTCATTCTTGACCTTGAAACCACACATCTGCCCCTAAAACGCTGAACTCAAGGTTCACTTTGTGGGATATGGCCAAAAACCTTCGGAGAAGCTAAGTAAGGTAAGTTCAGTTTAAAACCTAAAATCACAGATTGTCAAATTTACTTTCAATATCCACTTTTCAGTATCTATAAATCATTGGGGTAAAAACTCCAAAATAAATAAAGTGACAGTAAACTGTTTTAGTTTCACTTCCACTAAGCTCTAGTACAGTCATAGCCAGAGTCCCATCCCTATATAATGTAAATGTTCTTAATTAAAAGTTTGCTAATTCACATGCTTCGCCATTCCCAATTTTGGATTCATTTATATAGAAAGCCTTGAAGGAAGGAAAGACAGGAGGAATGATTATAGACGGTAAGAACAAATAGATGTGATGAGGTGGAAGTTAGAAGAAGAATAATTGGGCACAGATAAGGGAGGAGTGAAGAAAGGACAGAAGACCGAGAGCCTGAGGAAACACAATCTTTGTCTTCAGAGACGTATGACAAGTCACTCCTCTGTGGTGGGGACTACCATCAAGAAAAACAGCACGAGGGCAATAAAACACTACTATTGCCACACAGTGTTTAGAAATGAACGTGTAGCACTTGTCATACAAAAAAAAAAAAAAAAAAGCAAATGTGAATCCCATTTTGTGTAATTTTTAAGGCAAATAACACTCCAGTAAGGCTGTATCGAAGAAGTTATGAAAGAAGCTTCAAATGTCTGTCAAATCCCATGATGCTATTGTGGTAACATAAATGTGATTTATGATGCCGTTAGATTGCTGCTAGACCCCGTTAAGTGCCTCCTTTTTGTCTGCGGCAAGCGGGAGAGCAATCAGCAGTTTTTGGAAAGCTAAGACGCCAACAAATAGGGAATAAAGCAGAATATTTCTCTCAAACATGTTGCGAGAGTAATGAACTGGCTCAGGGAACGTGACAAAAAGGGAGTTCATGCTCAAAACCGAACAATTCATTAAGCTACGGTTTACTCAAATGAAGAACGGGGGGGTGCAGATCAGCAATTTCAGCAAATGAAGTGCATGGATGTGTGGCACATGAAGGTGCTCAACCAAAAGGAAGGCGATGCAGGATGTCAGCTCCAGTAAAGGGGAGAGAAAGTGAGCACGTGGACCAGCCCAGGTGAGCTTAATCAAGCTAACAAGCCTCAGGTGTCAGCTAACTGCCGGCAGAGTTTAACCAGGACAGCCTCCAACACGGCAGCAGGGGTGTCACAATGTTGTGAATATTTGAAATTATCACATCTATCTTTTTCTTTTTCTTTTTTCCTCCAATAGATTTTGACTTTTGGACGTTATAACATTTTGAAGTTGTTGGAAATTTTCGGAAACAATCCTACGCAGCCGCCACTGGAATCTTAATTCTACCAAAAAAGTACGATACTAATAATATAAGTGTAGTCTGATCTTTATCTGCAACTGTGCATAAATACAGTTTAAACAGAAAGAATAGACATGCCGCATTCAAATGTTGATTTAGAATTTAAATGGCAATGTTATGAATGAAGCTTCAGACTATTTGGTAAAGCCCTACACTCTAGAAATTGTCACGTTGCTTCTTTTAGCATTTTTGATAGAAAGAGGGCCGGATGTCCAGTAAAGAAGCTTTGGGAATTTTTTTGACAGTCCACCAGCCCACCGATGCGGCGATCCATCGGGATTTGTCCCGGTGTGCCAGAAGGCCGGTGCACCGCTGACTACATGGAGCAGTGCCTCTGGCAATTTTGTCACTGTAACTCAAAAAGACAACCGGTCTTCTGAAAAGAGGAAAGCCATGTCACTGTCAATGTGAATAGGACTTAACCAGTTGATAAAACTGGAATGAAGTAACATTTAATGGAGCCTTGCATCATATATATCCCGTCTTACACATTGAAAAGGAAAGAGGCAAGAGCGTGACACGCAAAACAAAAAAAACAAATTGTGAAGACAGTGAACCGTAGGTTATGGCTTATGCATGTAACCCCGAATCTCTGATGAAGTAATGCCTGTGCAACTTCAACTGGGATCCTCTCAAGCGCTCCACATTGTCAAGTCAAGTGAAATTTTCAAATGAAATTCATGGCATGCATGTACTGTAGAACATTCAATAAGATCTAAAAACAATGATTTTGTATATATTAACTTCAAAATATGTGGGAGATATCTCATTATTGCCTTTGAAGTAGTAACAATGGCTATATTCTGATTGATGTCTTGCTGAAACTGTTTGTGTGTGCTTTTGATAGCTTTAGTGCAGCCATAGTCTTGAATAATCCACTTAAGAGAACATGTCTGTTTACCTGCAAGCTGACCTCATTCATCAAGCAGCAGCTTACTTACTAATGTACAGCACCAAGTGGAAAGTCATTCGAAAGTGAAAGGAGTAAAAAGTTACAAGTTATACAGTCGTAATCTATTGAATGAACATATACGAACTTGATTTCTTAACCTTTCAAACTTGGCAGAGAGAACTCTGCTCTGCAGTGTGCTGTGGCCATGAACAGCTCAAAAACTAAGCTCTGTGATCTTGAATATAAACACATCAAACCAAAAAAAACTTTGTTTATTGCTTATAAAATCCAACAGCTTTCTTTGTCTGTGGAGCAGCGCTGTGCTTTATGCCTGTGCTATCACCTTTGGAGTGTTGGCCCTCCAGTTCTTAACAGAACTTGATGCTGCTATTGATCTGGCTGGGATAGACCGGCAGGAATAATGGAAGACTTCTGAAGCTGAGTCATCCCCCGCTTCATGTGCAGGAATAGGTATTGGCAGGAATGGGGGAAAAAGCGGATGACGTCAAATGCAGAAAGTGCCAATGATATGCGTGCGGTGTCTCTCTTCAGTGCTCCAATTGTTTTTGTGTGAAAACACAGGAAGAAAGGAAAAAAGGCTTGCATGTATTAATTAACTTAGCCACGCACAATGAAACAATAAAAGGATACATATTTCAATATACTCCCAATCAGACTTGTATAGCAAAGAAAGACAAAATGCTCTGTCTGGCTATGTTAAGAGAGCCATCTGGAGCATTACCGCTAACCCTGCTGAGCTGCTCCAATCACACTGCTTCTTACACAGCTCTTCACACCGACTTCAACCCCACGAAAGGTACTATCGGACTTATACCGAGCTGCATGACATCGAGGTCTCCAGCAATACCTCAGTGTGGCTTACAATTTATTCATTAAAGTGAACTTTAAAAAAAAAGGCTTTCCCCTTTAGAGTGTTGAGTTCTGTGCTGTTTCATCTCAATTAAAGATTAGTTAGAGCAGCTCTGAAGGGGCTCGTACTTCACCGGGATCAACAGATAATAGAAGAAGCAAGTCCATCGTCATCCCCCATGACCGCTCTCTCTCTCTCCTCCAGCGCCTCAGCCATCTGTAGCTCTTCAGCTGCTCACCTGAATTGCAGGGCTCCCTCCGAGTGGGACCTACAGATGGTCCACAGCAGTGGTCTGCCTAAATATATTATCATGTACACCGCTGACCCACTTCACCTTGAAATCATTACCGCTCTCCGATAAGAGCACCGGGCGGTGTGTGTGTGCGCGAGTGCAGGTAATTTCACCTTCACTCATGATACCCGGGTGAGTGCTGCCCTGTGTAGCGTGATGCATTATGTATAACTTTCATCCTGGCATTCTACCACAAACACACGCGCACCTACACAGACATGCACACACACACACACACACACACATAGAGAGGCTTTCACAAAGTACACAATCAGCAAGCACTGATGTTCTTACACCGTATGCTTTCACTTTCTTTGCATCAACAGAGCACTTTCTTTCCAATGTCCTTTGAGGCTGCTGATGTTCCTTCAACAGGAACATCGGTCTTTTTTATATTTTGACGACGAATGTTCACCAAAAGCATCTTCTTGCTGGGTGAGATCTTACTTTTAGTAGTAGTACTCTGACCTCCAGATGCAGACACAAAAGACAATATATATTATAACCTAACGTAAACCACGGATTATACCAACAGGAAGCACAGAAAGAACATTCCAGCTATTTGCAAAGTGGTTCTTGTTTTCTCCATTAGTGTTGTTGAGTTACTTTCCTCACCAAGGTAATTGTACATCCCTAAAAGCCCATTAGAAGTAGCAGCACAAAAGCTAAGCCAATCACACAACTTGTTACCAACCCTCTCATTATTTGGAGTTGGGTTTCAGGCGTCCTGACCGATTTGTGACCTTTTGTCCATAGTTTCAACTTCTGAATGAAATATCTGGCTCTTTAGCTGCCAAATGCTACACTATGTTCACCGGCTAGTCGCTACGTCTGCTCTTTAGTGCTGGTCAGATAGTGGACAATGGGTTTATCAGAGAAGAAGTTCAATAATACTGATTAGAGCAGCTTTAAGGAAACTTCTTGAACAGAAAGTGTTCTTAATTCTATTAATTCACAGTGAAAGTATTTTGGCACAATACCAGGAAACTGTGTTTTCATTTAAAAGGTATAAGGGTTGTCTGCGGATTACAAGATGGACATTTTTCTTTCAAGAGAATAACTTTTGATTGACACATCCATTG